CCTTGTCTCCTTTTTCTGACCCGGACACTTTTTGTTACTTCCCCCTCACCGCCTAGACCCCTCAGGGGAACGTAACAAAGTGTTAACCTGCTCCTGCTCACATCAGTTTATCTAAACTTTCTGTAATCTGTGTGTTTGTGTTCAGATCTTCCACCAGAGCCAGCCGTCATCTACTCCTCACTGAAGCTGAGCCACACACCTTCACCACAGCTTAACCAGTCTAACCAGTGACGTCCAGCTGGCTGCCAAACACATCCCTGCACTCCTCTCTATATAATATATTATTTATTCAATCATATTCTGTGTGTGTTTACAGTTGTACAGCTGCACTGGAACAGTTTAAAATGTAGAGCTCAGGATGAAGTGGAAAGTTTGTTTGTCTTTAATAAAACATTTTAAAGGTGATCCAGTTTCGCGTCACACAGGAAATTCCTTCTAGAAGCAGATCCGATCACTCTGCAGCCATCGTGAAATGCTGCATTGGTAAATATTTATGAAGCATTATCTGCACTGTCTTTTATTTGAATGGTCACCAGGACATAAACACTGCATGTACAGGATCAGCAGTCAAATCTGACATCAAACATTTCTTAACGTTTGCTGACTTTGCCCCAAAATAAGGTTTTAAAAACCCTTTTTCACACATGGGATTTCAACCTCTGCAACCATCTTTACTGTTGCTGTCTGTCATGGATTTGAATTCAGGGTTTTCTGAGTGCCACATGTCTCTCTTAGACTGACCCCCTCCTGCCAGTTAATATTATAGCAGCTAATCAGACCTGTGATGCAGAGGTGTTACAGTCACTTCAGGTTAAAGAGAAGATGAGCTGTGGCCACAAGTTCTGATCTATAAAGCCCAACATTTCATCCTAAAACAAAAGTTTTGTATCCGTCACATGACGTGTTATGACTGCGATCCAGCTGCAAGTTATTCTTCAGTGCACAGAACAGTTAATAACTCCATCAGGACAAACTTGCAAAGAGATTGCAAGGTGGTGTCAGGGAGAAGGTAGCAAGGTAGCATGAGATGGTGGAGTATATGATGAATTTGGACAACAGCAGGAGGGAGCGAGCAAAAGCAAAGAGTAGAATTAAATGGCGGAAGCGGAAGTCGGTGGTTTGATTAAATTGGTGTAAGTATTTGTGATTAATAAAAAAAAACCAACCAAAAACGATGCAGAGCTTTGAATCACAACTGAATTTAATGAATTAATTTTCGCTGTTACAGACACAGAACAGTCTGTTACAAAAACGTTAAGTAAAAATTTACCCTTGATTTATTTATTCTATTAAGATGTAATTGTAATTTTTAATTTCATGTAATTTAAAATGTAACATAAAATTGAGTAAAACCTATCAAATTGTTTCACATTTATGCATCATTCATGTATCAAATAAACAATTCCTGTTTATGACCACAACCAAGGGTGGCACCGTCACCACAGTCTACAGGGGGAAGGTCCAGAGTCTGAATCCAGTTTGGGACGGTTCTGTGTGGAGTTTGCATGTTCATGTTTCTGTGTGGCTGCTCTCCAGGTATTTTCTGTATGTTTGCCCTGTGACAGTCTGGGAAGCAGGAAAAGCTGTGATGAGAAGTAAAATAATTTATTTCTCATCACATAAAAAGAAAAAAGAAAAAAATATTGAGGCATTATAAAAAAGATAAATCACACCATCAAATCCTTAGAAGAAGCTTACGTGTCCAACCAAGAACAGGAACAAAATACGCAAAAAAAAAAAAAAA